TATTGAACAATTAAAAATGCTTTCTCACTGGCTGGAGGAAATGAATAAAAATTGGATCTGAAAACAAGGCCACAATATAAATCACGGTGCAAACGCGCTAAAGGGGAAATCAAAGCTGTGTTCATCATCTGGGCAGCCAGAGCCAGGTGGAAACAAGATTCTTTTGGAGATGTCTCAACCAAGAAGTTCCAGGAGTAAGAAAATCGTGCTGGCTAATTAAGCTCAAAGGGATGCACATGGGTCTGCTCAGAGAGGGGACTAAGTACAGGTGCTATTTTCTTACTAGGATCAGTACTGAAGTTAGAAACTATCTGGAATTAAACTGCTTTTAGAGGCAAATAGGCTATTTGGTTTTGGTGATTTTTTTTTTGTTTTGTTTTGTTTTGTTTTTGGTGTGGGGGGCAAAAATTGTTTTTTCCTGTAGAGCTATTTGCTATTTTCAGGGAAAGAGGTAGTTCATGTTCTGGATCCTCATAGCTAATTACCAGTGAAATACATGGGGCTAGTTAGGCATCCCTAAGGAAATGTACAGCTATGGGGTTTGTGCACTGGTTCTAATCAGGGTTCTCAGAGTTTTCATTTTTCTTCATATAGACAAGAAGCATATGCAAGAAGTCAGACTTTAGTATCCAGTTCCAGGCTTCATTTAGGGAAAGGTCATGGGAAGAACAAAAACCCAGCACACATCTCTCAGTAAGTCACCCAGGGGTGAGACCCATCACAAGAGGTCGTTTTTCAGAGCAGAACTCTTTTTGAAATATGAGGCTTGAGGCTCATTATGGATAGGCACGAAAGCACTTCACTTCCTTCCTGCAGATGGACTCAGAATTGTGATCAAGAGCATTTTTTTTTTTTGTTTAAAACTGTCATTTCAACAAATGCAAACACACGTAGCTTGGCACTGATGCTCCAGGTAGAAGCGGGATGCTGGACTCCACAAGCAGATCCCTCTATACTTTCATGACCCCAACTCCCACCGTGTGCTTCTCAGGCACTACTGCCTTATTTTTATGTGATAGTGATGTGGGAAAGTCCTGCCTGAGGCCGCCCTGGCTCCAGGGACCTGCAGCCTGAGCAACCCGGGTTCTTCTGTTAAACTCTGACTGTGCTTGCTTGCTTTTCCAGTACCAGGTGGGTGTGATCCCTGCAACAGTCTTTCAAAACAGACTTGAAAAATTTCCAAAATGCTTTATTTATGCAGTGAATATATGACTGAAATGACTGTAAAGGAGCGGTGGGATTTTTGTATGTGTAGGGTTTTTTTTTGTTTGTTTGTTTTTGTTTTTTGTTTTTTTTTTTTTTTTTCAGCAATCTTCCAGTTGACAGATTTCTGCATGTAATTAAGGGCTGCGTGTTCAGTACAACTTCTCTTTTTTTGCCACTTCTGCCTATCTGTTGATTCTGCTACGGGGTCCTTTTTATTAAGATTCAAGGAAAACCAAGGTTTTGTTTTGTTGGTTTTTTTTTTTTTTTTTTCCCCTGTGTATACACATGCATCTTTTACATTGTCTTTAAAAAGTACCGTTGTTGTGAACATACTTAATGGCTCTTCTGCAAAGAGATCTGGCAGGTTAGAAAGCAGAGCCAATACACTTACGTTATTAACAGTTGCAGAAGCAAGCACAGGAGAAATGACAGTGAAAAGGGAATTACTTTCCCAGTTATCAAAGAGCAGGGGTGAAAGCTGGGATTTAAAGAAATCCATCGAAAAATTCACTGACTTTTTATGGCACAGGATTTAAGCTCTGCTTCTGTTCCTAACCCTTGCAAGGGCAAAACTCCTGGGACAACCTTTCATATGAACACGATAAACGGTTTGCTTCGCCGCATTACAGAAATGGCTTTTCTGGTCAATGCTGCGTTTGCAAACTCCTGAGGAAAAGCTGCGATGCAGACAGGTTGTCAAGTGCTGCATGAGCTAATATTAATGCCTGCTGTGACTTAGTCTTGCTATTTGGGGTTTTTTGGTGGCTCCTTGTGTTACATCTGTCTGATGGAGCGATACCAGACTGTCCTTGGCTTCCACTGCACCCAGTTTTCTGTCATAAATAGTAATGAGAGCAACCAAGGTGTGTTTTTTCGTTTTCCTTTGAATTTCTGAACGAGGCCTGCTGTGTTTTTGCAAATTGCATCTTCATTATAAGTATTTAAGAGCCATAGCTTTTCATATCAGACAACTTGGCACCCACTTTGAGAAGAACCATGTTATTCTAAAGCAGAAAACTGGATTAGAAAATTGCTTTTGCGGATAGAAACAAAGTCCTGTCAGCTCGTCTAATCCAGTTCTCTGGCACTGGTGCAGGACAGCTTTCCACACGGCAGAATGCACGGCTGCCTCTGCCAGACGCACCAGCCTGGGCTGCTGCGCTTTCTCAGCGCAGCTCACGGAACGAGCGCCGGGGCCGGTGTTTTGATCTTTCTGGGAACAAGCTGGCACGTAGCTCTGTGTAGTGCTCCACTGTAACATGGAAAAGTGTCCCGCAGGAGTTCAGTTTGGAAAGGTGAATTGGGTTGGCGCGGCAAGGTTTTGGTAGAGGGGGACTACGGGGAGGGGGGCTTCTGTGAGAGGCTGCTGGAAGCTTCCCCCGTGGCCGACAGGGCCGATGCCAGCCGGCTCCAGGATGGGCCTGCCGCTGGCCAAGGCCGAGCCCCTCGGGGACAGGGGTAGCACCCCTGGGGTAATGTATTTAAGGCGGGGAAAAGAACCTGAGCAATGAGAGCTCTTCAGACAGAGAGAAGGGTGAGAACATGTGAGAGAAACGGCTCTGCAGCCACCCGGGTCCGTGAAGCAGGAGGGGCAGGAGGTGCTCCAGGCGCCAGAGCAGATTCCCCTGCGGCCCGTGGTGCAGAGCACGGGGAGGCAGGCTGTGCCCGGCACCCAGGGAGGTCAAGGGGGGAGCAGGTTCCACCCACAGCCCGGGGGGGACCCCACGCCGGAGCAGGGGGATGTGCCCCGAGGAAGCTGTGACCCCGTGGGAAGCCCACGCGGGAGCAGGCTCCTGGCAGGACCTGTGCCCCCGTGCAGAGAGGAGCCCACGCTGGAGCAGGTTTGCTGGCAGGACCGGTGACCCCACGGGGACCCACGCTGGAGCAGCCTGTTCCTGAGGGACTGCACCCCGTGGGAGGGACCCACGCTGGAGCACTCGGTGAAAAGCTGCAGCTCATGGGAAGGACCCGCACTGGAGAAGTTTGTAGAAGACTCTCTCCCGTGGGAGGGAGCCCACGCTGGAGCAGGGGAGGAGTGTGAGGAGTCGAGTCCTCCCCTGAGGAGGAAGGAGCGGCAGAAACAGCGGGTGATGAACTGACTGCAACCCCCATCCCCTGCCCCACTGTGCTGCTGGGGGGGAGGTGTTTTAAAATTTCTTTTTATTTCTCTGATTTGATTGGAAATATATGAAATTAATTTCTCCAAGTCAAGTCTGTCTTGCCCGTGACAGTAATTGCTGGGCAATCTCTCCCTGTCCTTGCCTCAACCCACCAGCCTTTCGTTCTATTCCCTCTCCCCTGCCCAGTTGAGGGGAGGGATAGAGCAGCTTTTGGGGTGCACTTGGTATCCAGCCAAGGTCAACTCACCCCAAAAGGCCATCCTATATTTCAATGTCCCTTTTAAAAAAACAGCCTGAAAGAGAAGTGAAAGGTGGTGGTTGTTTTTTTTTTTGAAGTGCATTTAGCTAGCTCATACAGCAGAAATGCAGAACATAAGCTATCCAACCAACTATGAAACAAATACTAAAATTAATTGCTTAATTCTCTTTGCATTAGGATAAAGCATACGGTTTTAAAACGTCTTCAGTGAAGAAATGCTGAATGGGGGAAACATATACTATTGCCTTGTACTAAACTGAAAGCAAGTTCAAGTGTAAAGATTGGTGGGGCGATAGCCAAAGGCAAGCTGTCCTGCAACTTATTTTGGGAGGCAACCTAGTTTTAAGGTTTGTGCATACCAGGTTGACCCAGTAAGCACATTAAATAATTACCATCTCTGGAAACCCAGGTTCTGTTACAACCAACTTCATTGTAGTTCTTCAACTATGGGAAAGAATCCAGAGAGATACTTCTTACCCAGCAGCTGATATACGAGTGCCAAAAGTTTAACTGTACCAAGGAACAACAGACTGCAAGCTAAGGGATTATCATCTGTTCCAGGCTGTTTTCTACCAGGCTGCGGTAACAATGATCTGTCCTACATTGGCACACAGGCTAACGCTGCAGCTGAACAGATCCTGCGTGGGCACCAATGTCGGAATTGGCCTCCATCATTTTCAGGTAAGGCGGGCGTGTCTGCCTGTGCACACACCACCCCGACCCATGCATTTTCTGGGTGTCAGAGAACAGCATGAAATGGGGTTCAGCTTTCAAGCCGACAGCATGGCAGGAAGGCGAGACCTTTGGGGAGGGTCTGTGCCTGTCCCTCAGGGCAGGTAACCTTCACGAGCTCAGCACGCAGAGCGGGCCTCTTGGTGTTTCATGCCCCCGGAGCGTGGCCAGGCGGCACCACAGCACGTGCAGCACAACGTGAAGGCAGTGGCATGACTAACAAGTGGGAAGCTTGCATGCGTACCAGCTCCAGAGCGGTGCAGGTGCTTGGCAAGATCAAGGCTTTGATCCTGTTCACACCAGCACGCGCGAATTCTCACATCCAGTGCTTTCCGTGAGAACAGTCACACATGTTTTACCTAAATCAAGGGCACTGCACCATCTGATTCACTGTTTTTTATAATACAGCAGCCATAGTGTTTTGTAAGAATTGGGGTAGAGACTACAAGTTGACTTGAACCGCAGTGGGAAGTGCACTCCGCTAGCTCCAGCACGCCTCGTTCTTACCAAGCTTACCCACTCCCCTGGCGCTGGAACCCTGAGCTTCAGTCCTGTGTTTCTAACCCCCTGCCTGCCTAGTGCAAATCACCAAACCGATTGCTTAACAGTACTCCTAACCCCAAAGTAACCAGCACGAGCAAATGGCAAGATCCAAGCATACACTTAACTCTGTCCAGAAACTCTACAGGGAAAGACCGCCTCTATTTCAACATTTTTATGAAATATAATAATTTTTCTACATGAACAAACATTTATTTTTGCTGGCAGAAGCATCTAAAAGTTCACAAAACAACTCCAAACAGAGATTTAAAAAAAAAAAAAAAAAAGCATCCAAACTTTTAATTTAATCTCCAAATCTTGGTTAAATGGACTTCATCTTTCCTTTGGTTCCTGGGCAGAGGTTAGTGGCTCGGGGCAGTACTTTCTCCAGAAGGTAAACATCTCTCAATGGTTGCACTACAGGTGGCTTTCATCCTTTACTGCCTGAAGTCCAGTTTCAAGCTTAGAACTAGAGTTATGTTCCACATGGCTTGCAACACAGTACTTTTAAAATCTCATTTCTCCAGGGGTGCGTAATTCAAAAGCTTCTCGATCAGATCCACATGGGCCAGGAGCATTCTGCGGCAGCAGTATCTCTTCAAACCAAGGGCATCCAGGGCATCTCTATTAATGAACAAGAACAACAATAAAAAAAAATAATGGATGGAGTGAGTCAGAACCACTTGTAAGTGTTCCTAAGCAACATACTGATTACTTTGAGCTTAGTCATAGAGGAAAACTTGTTTGCAGTTCAAATGAAGAAAAAGAAATTTAGCATGCGCCGACAATGTTCTTTTCCATGTACTGCTCCTGACGGGGCGTTTGTCTGTTCGCTGGCCTGCAAGAGCACACGATCTTCTGTTAAAGATGGTGTTCAGCTGAGACAACTACTGAACTTTCAGAGCTCAGTCTGCAGAACTCCCTCAGGATCAGAACTGCAACAGACTCTTATGAATTTCTTCTTCTGAACACTCGCAAGGGCATATTTGGTCATGTAACAGCACGGATAAGTAAGATGCAAGTGTTTTGGTTTTAGAAATAAATTTTTTGTCTTCACAGCAAAAGAGACTTGAAATAAGGTACATTTCTAACCTCAATTATTTAGTTACAGTAACTCAGTCTTTCTTTTACAAACACCAGTCTTTTTCAAAAGTGGGGAGCTGAGCTGGTTAAATATCTGAGCAATCAAGAGGTGTGAATGTAGTAACAGGAACACAGTTCTGGAACATGGAAAGTCATTTCCACTCCTCTTAAAAGCCTGGACAGTCCATAATAAGCTGTGCTGGCTACAACTCCTGCTACTTGTACTGTAGAAGGTAGCACGAAGGCACTAGACAGTCTCCTGATACAGGAATAAGGAACAGCATCTCCAAGCATGTTATCCATGCTATTGTTAGCATCTCTAAGCACCGTTATAACATTTCTGTAAATTGAGGATGATACTTGCCTACTTCACGAGATAAATTTGTGATCTAAGCCACGTTAAAAAGGTGAGAGATATATAGAAACTAAAATAACTCAAGATGCAAACTACCCCACACATGGATGGGATGCTAATTCTGAGGAAGGCTAAAATCCTTTCCAGTTCCCATATAAGGCAGCATGTAGTTATACAACCTGTTCCCCACAAATAAGGATGTGCAGACTGCCCAACAAGGCATTTGTGTTTGACAGTCTTTCTACTTAATTCCTTCTGAGTGACTGGTCGAGGTTCTTAGAGTTGGGTAGAAAAAGTACAAGTCATCCTAGCCTAAACCACTTCATGTGTCTTCAACGGGTATCACTATCAGATCTCTTAAAGATAAGTGACACTATCCAAGCTCTTTAGCACCAACCTATTAACCATAAAGCCAGTCTGATACTCCTTCAGAATTTAACTTCATGAAATACGATTGATCTCGGGTCTTTAGATCTATATGATGCAGTGCAATAATCCAGCATTTGCTTAAAACAAATACAATTTCCTGAAACCTGTAATTCTCCTGTAGAAAGAAGCTGACAGATACTTTTCTAAAGCACAAAAGACCGAAAGGAAGCCTCTGCATAAGCCATAAGCATGGTAGAGGGTTGTTTGGCTGCAAGCAATACAGTCTAGCTGCAAGGGATCAACCTCCTGCAGTTTCTCTGATGATGTCAGCTAGTCTTTACACCCACCAAGAGTTCTTCAAGGGTTAAAATAGCAGGGCTATTCAATTTAGGACTTGTATTTGCAAAAGTTATTTAAGAGAAGTATAGGAACAATGCATATTTTTAGAAAGAATGTTTATAAATAAAATCACATGGTCTCTAAAGTTTCCAAAACACTTGAGAACAAAAGCATCTGATGTCTGTTGTTATGTAAGTTTTCAGTGCTATCTGGAGAGTTCTGAACTTTCAAATGCAGTTATCAGAGATGCAAAATACTAACATTAATCACAACTTTAGAAGTCATAATATACATTTCAGCTAAACCAACTTCAGTTGTATTTCCCTTCTCCCCTAGCTTCCACAAAATTGTGGAAAAAGAGCAATTTTAAGGAACAAACTGAAAAGTGTGGGTCTTTTTTAACCACAAATTATTTAGACAAGTTTATCTCTTCCATTTTGTCCATCCACTTCGTAAGCCACCATTAATAGTGATTCTGACACCAGACTGTATGATTTTAATTGCTCAATATCTGGAAACTCTTCTTCTGATCTTAGAATACTGAAAGTGCATTAGTTTGAACAGGCATCCCAGAATCATACCAGTGACCACAGCAACTGTTTTCAGGTGAGCATTTACCAATAACAACATACACCTTCTTGTCCCGTACAAAAGCAGAGGAATAATGAAGACAGGAAAAATATTCAAATGTAATACTTGCGAAATAAGTCAGAAGTGCTACCAGAATAGCTCTGATAAATTTCAGAATTAGTGAGAAATAATTAGCAACCCATATTATTTTAATGCTTTTAACTCCATAAATGAAAGAAAAACAATTTTTTTTTTGTGGGAACTTTCCACATACCTTTAGTTTAGCAGCTGCAATATTCTACTCAGCTATGTTTGACAGGTTCTGGGCTCTTAATGCATGTTAAAAAGGCCACTCAAAAGGAATGAGATTTAGGAAAAGTATTGAATGATTTTCACTGGACAGTTCTAAACCATTAGAACAGTTTCTAATTTACATTAGAGAAAAGGCAGCAAAATCTGTGTTGTTAATATACATTCTTCTGATAGTTCACAGACATAAGCCCATTAAAAAACCTATTAGTAACCCTAACCATTTAAATGCAAAGCAAAAACTCTTTTTCTACTTCACAGATTCAACATCACTATGGAAAGTCTCTCAAACTTCTAACTTTTTTTTTCCCCCCACTCCTTTGAACTGCAAGCATGCATGGCTTTCTTTTCTTCATACTTAAACTTGATGACAATGTAAACATTTCTCAAGAGTTACCTTCCCAAACCCTTCTGAAGTAGGCCCAGCCACAGCTAGACCTTCCTTGAACTACTAAAAGACAAGTCTAGCTACGCAACGCACGCACAGACTTCTTAAAACAGAATTGCTAGGACTATCAGTCAGGTATCTAGAGCAGCTAAACCTCCTCTTCCCCCCTGCAAACCAGTGCTTTCATATAAAGTTAGCAATTCTGGATAGTGAATATGAAATGCCTTTAAGAAAACCTAACGGGGGTATACATTGTTAACAACGTTAGTTACTTCTTACACTTGTAACTTCTTTCTCTCCCCTTTTTAAAAACAAAACAACAAAAAAAAACCAAAACAAAAACCGAAACCCCACATTGGCGTCAACATTGACTGTACAACTTGGTTCTTTCCTTACCTTTCCATACAGAGTTAAATATTTGAGACTGCTTTGGGTATAAAGGTTATGACTTGGCAACTTCTATACTACTACCCAGAAAGATTCAGTAGGGAAACAAGTACTTTCTTACCCACTACAATTTCTTACCTCTGATTAAATATCAGTTTTTAGACCCTTTATAGCTACCTCATAACGCCATAATCCTGCACTTGCGCATCTTACACACTGTGCAATCTCATCTCAAATATGTATCAAAGAACATACAGAAACAATACTCACCCTTCTGTATATTCTGCTTGCAAAAGGCCAAGATAGGCTTCCCACTTGTTTCCAACTATCTTGCCGCATGTGAAACATCTGACCGGGATGATCATTTTTTCACTGTAACATTAAAAACACACAGCATTGCACCTCCGCAAAAGAACCAAACACCCTATTCAAACGTCAGGAAGGGAACTGCGAACTTGTACAAGCCCCCACTGCAGCTGAGCGGGGCACGGCCGGGGGCCACGCTGCGCAGCGAATTCCAGCGCTCTGGCTCCCGCGGCCCGGCCCGCACCGCCTCCCACGCGAGTTCCGGCCACAGGGCGGTGGGCAGACGGGGCCGCGACCCCCTCGGGGTGGGGAAACTGGGGCCGCGTTACCCCCGGCCCGCGAACATGGGCCTAGGGCGGCCTGAGGGGCGCCGGGGCAGCCTGAGGCCCGGGGCCTCGCTCGCCGGGCCGGGCCGGGCCCCCTCGTTCTCATTTCACCCGCGCCCCTCACCCCAAGGCGGCGAGGAAGCCCCCGGCAGCCCCTGCCAGCCCCCTGAGGGATCGGCACACCCGACAGCCCCCCTGAGCGAACGACAACCCCACACTCGCTCCTACCGCCACGGCGGCTCCGCGCTTTCCTAACGGCTGCCGGGGCGCTGCCAACGCAGCCGGGCGGGGGAGGACGCCCCGCCGCCGGGCGGGCCGCGGCGGGCGGGAGGGCGGGAGGCGGTGCGGCTCCCCCCCCCAGCTCTGGGCAGGGATGGTAGCGGCCGAGCGTACGGCGTCGCGGGCGGCTCGAGAAAGAGAGGAGCGAGCGCGCGCGCGCGCGAGGAGGGATTGTCTTCGTGTTTCGCGTGCGGCGCGCGGAGCGGCAGCGGGGGCGGTGGGGCGAGAGAAAGAGAGAGAGAGAGCGAGAGAGAGAGCGCGCGCGGCGCCCGCCCCTGCTGCTCCTGCTCCTCCTCCTCGTTATTCCCGGGTGGGTGGGCACTTGTTGCATTGCGAGAGGGCTTTTGCAGCGACGAGACTTCTCATCCCGTCCTGGCTGAGGTACCGGAGCCGTCCGGGGCGGGAAGCGCAACCGGTGGCCGCAGCCCGGCAGCCGCGGGCAGGGGGAAAGGTGGTGGTGGTGGTGGTGGTGTGTGGGGGGGCGCGCCCGCCGGCCCCGCTCCCTCACGGGCAGAGCGCGGGAGCGGCGGTGCCCGCGGTGGCTCCGCGGCTGCGGAGCCTGGAGCCGGTCCCCGCAGCGGGCAGAGCCGCGGCGCCCGCCTGGCCCGAGGGGTTCCTGTTTTTTCTCCGTTGTTCTGCATAGCCCGGACAGAGTTTTGTGTTTTTTTTTTTTTTTTTTTGTTTTGTTTTTTTTTTTTTTTTGAAGGCAAATTCTCCCTCGAGTCGCAGTCAGGTTGCGGGCGCTGTGGCGGCTGCGGGTTTGCGGAGAGTTTTTAAAACTCCGCGGTGAGATTGGACTCGGCGCTTGTCCCGTTTTAACTTCGCTGCGGTTTGCCGTGAGCCGTGCGGAGCTAAAGTGGAAGAGGAGCGGTGGGCGGGAGGTGCACGCCGCAGCCTGCATGGCCCGGGGCGTTCTCCCCGGGACCGGAGCGCCCAGGGAAGCTCCCCCTGCTCGGGGGGCAGCGGCCGGCCGCCGGGAAAGCACCCGGTTTTGTTGGGTATCCCAACCCGGGGAGGCTCCCTCAAAGAGGGTGACGCGCCTTGAAACGGTTTTCTTGCATTTCTTTAACCTAAGGACGGGGGAAGCATCAGGCGCAGCCTGTGTGTGGTTTGCAAAGCGTGCTGTGATGGCTGCAAACTTTAGGGACAGACGCTGCCGTTCTGGGGGCTCTGGGATGAAGCATTAGTCTGAACACTGTCAGTCCTTATTGTTCTCTTGTGACAGCGTTAGCATTATGCCGATTGTCCTTGGGCAGAGCAGAAATTCTCCAGAAGTGTGTTTTATTTTCCTGGTAAAGTGTCTGTGAGTTGATACAGTGCGCAGCGTGGAGCCATTACTGTCAGGCATATAAATAATTGTGTCTTAATGCACAGCTTATGTTAATATGTCTTTCGTGACTATTTTTCGAACGACTGGATTATTGACCCTCTGCACAGAAATGCCAGACCTAACTTGAACTATAAAAGAGCAAATAGTTTTGTTTTAACAAATGAGGGTGGTTTGAAAGCATTTTTACAATTCTGATTGCTAGTGAAAAGACAGTAATTTTTGCAGTCCCAGGAACAATTATATGCAGTTGTGAACTGGGTGAATTGACTTGGCATGGAGGGTAGATGAACCTCCTGCGATCTCTACATTATTATCATTATTGTTATTGTAGGCCAGCGGGAGCCAAACTATGTCTTTTCTTTTTCTCCTTTGATTTCCTTTTTTTTATTGGGAGTTGAGAATTTGGAGATTGTGCTTTGATGCATTTTCAGCACCAGGGCTCCAAAGCAATTTTCTTACTGAACTGTGCAGTGAAAGGCATTTGTGTTTGGAGAGGGAAATTTTGCAATTGGGAGTGAGAAAGGGGGGCTGTCACAGGGGCTTCATGGCTGAGCCACATCGTTAGATGTAAGATAGCATCTTGAAGGTGCCTTGTAGAAATGTGCTTGCTTATTTCATAAAAACAAAACTGAATTTTAATTTTCAGACCTAGTTCTGGTATCTGACTTTGGGTAGCGTATTTTTTCAAATAAAAATTTACTCTGGTTGTTCTTGCAGCATTACTTTAACTTTGTTACGACTTTTCTGGATAACCTGCTTTGGCTGGCTGATTGGCTTAATGAACTAGTAGGTCTTTTATGGCTGTAGCTTCTTTGATCCTAGAAAATGTAAAGATTTTTATGATCTATGACCTGGGGAGACTGCTACATACTGAGAACATTCTCTGCCCAGCTTCATGTATCCTCTGCTTAATCTGACTTTGCCAAACCACAGAGTTCTGTTTGAAAGAGTTGGGGGGGATGAGCAGACATGTGACTATCAGGAATCAGAGTCGGTGTTCTATGGGCTGTAGCTCAGGCTGATGAGGGTGGCTCCTGCAGAGTGAGCCAGTTGTGGCATGCCGCCTCTCAACTCTTTTTTGCAGGTGAGCTGGGTACTGCTGACACTCAGCTGTGGTATTTTAGTCGAATTTGGGCTCTTCTACCATCCTTCTGAAGAGGGATGAGGACTGGAAAGAATTGGAGAGTTAGGTCTCTTTAAGCATCCCTTGAAGAGTAATTGCAAGAATTGGAGTCCTATCTCCTAGAACTGATCCTAGCCCAAGCATGGCTCTTTCTCACAGTAAGTTCTTCTCCCATGTCTGGTCCCTTACCACCTTCAACAAGCAGCAGTCCCCAAACTGCTGATTCTTTGGGCCTTCAGACAGCCTGGTGGTCAGAAAACCCCTTGGAGCACTCCTCAGCATTGAGCAGAAGAGACTCCCCTCGAACTAGTCAAGTTGAAGTAAATTTGAGAACTGTGGACTGCTTTTCTGATGTGCTTCTGGAACAGTTTCTTTCGCGTGAAGCTTTGTTGAGGGGCACTGCAGATAATATATCCCACTTCTTGGTTAATGCAGTACAGAACCTCTTCCTCTGATCTGAACAACTTTTGAAAGCTGACAGTGTTCTGTCCCACCATCACTGTTGGGTTGAGGCTTGTTCTTGGCAATTTTTTTTTGGATTTAGACCTACAAAATTTAGCTAGGCATGATTGCTCTGTGGCATTGTTAGTGATGAGTACTGAAATCCTAGATTCGTGACTAAGGAGTAAATCCTGCTTTCTGTTCTCCCATCCACAAAATGTAAGAGAAAATACTGCTGCTTGTTTGAAAAACAAACCCATAAAAAGTCAGTTAAGTGACCTGACTGAACTACTCTTAAAATACTTTTATAGCTTGAGTGGCCATATGACCTCCTGGAGCTCATGTTGGCAGATTGTGTCTTTTGTGACCTTGACTCTGTAATTAGGGCTGTAGGAAGGAGTCGTGGGATCTCTGCATTTGTACTGGTAGCATGAGAAACCAGTGGCTGAGAAATTTTTTTGTTTGTGTGTTTTACTTTGTGGGTTGCAGTAGGTCAAGTTTAGGTGTGCACCCTCACGAGTCTGGAGACTTTTCACCTTTCACTGCTTCTCAGCTTCTGTGGTTGTTCCCCATCTCCTGGCTGCTTGTTGCTGCACGCATGTAGATAATCACCTGAACTGAAGACTGATTTGCCAGCTAGATAGCGTTGTGTTCAATCAATGGTAGTGAATTGTTATTTAAATACAGGGCTTTTTAGAAGAACTTTTTGGTGAAGGATTGTTTTGGTACTGTTGATCACAACTTGCAACTTGTGGATAAGCCCTGTTGGCTCTGTTTGGAGTTAAAAGTTCTGTTTCCTGTTGCTTTCTGTGGTCATTTGGAGACAGAATGTTACCAGTTTTCACTCCATCTCTGACCAACACTTCAGAATCACGTACGTGATTGCAAAAGGTTGTGGTACCATATTCAATACCTCGGATCATAACAAAGCCAGAGAAGAACCCTAAGAGAGAAACACTTGTATGAATCTTGAAATGAGTGATTAAATAGGAAATTAGTCAGGAACTGAAGTGTGACGTGGAAGACTTAATGAATAAATGTGTAGCAAGTAGAGAACCAGAGTGAAAGGGGAAGCTAAAAAAACCCCCCAAAGTGCAAGATAAAGCTTGGCTGCTGTTTTCTCAGGCATATTCTACCCTCCTGCAGATCTACTGTTGGGCTTTCTGTAGTTCTGGTTAACTACTCAGAAGTGTGTCATTCATCCCGTTCCACAAAAGGGAAAGAAAAGTGGCTCCCTCTGGAGCTAGCTAGTGTGACTTTGGAAGGACTTTCCTCCTTTCCCTTTAAAGCGTGCAGGCTCAAGGAGCAAAGACTGAGCTGGAATCTTGATTTGTTTTCCTCTTGATTTTTTTTGAGTGGGTGGCTTTCTGCCCCGTTATGTGTGTACACACACCCCCCCCCCCCGCCCCATTGCATACAGCTTTACATGTGATGGTAAGGGAGAAAGCCAAGAAGGAGAGACGGGGCTGATAGAAGGAGGAAAGATTTGTCTACTCTGTAGAAGTTTTCATTGTTTAGTTGCCCTGCATGCTGTTTAATAGCTGCTCAGGCCCCTGGATTTAGTGAAACAAATACAGAAGCTGCTAAGCAAGTAGAAATGCAGAGAAAGCTCTCTACGCTGGGGATGCGACTGCAGCTTCGCTGTAATACCAGTCAAGCCTGATGCTGCTGATTTCATTAAAAGCAACATTCGGGGCCTCAAAGCAGGGTTTAATACTTGCTATATATTTTTTTTTGCATATGCTGACCTTATCTGGTAAGCCTGTAATATTTGTTGCAATGAAGAGCAGCTGCTGCATAAATACATGTATAATATCAGTTGCCAATTCTGAAAGCTGTGCTGAGACTGTGACTTGTTTGAAGTGGGGTTGCTATTAAAAGGCAGGTGGCAGGATGTTTATTTTACACCTTGTTAATTGCTTGTTTTTCCTGCTGTAATTGGCTTCCTAATGGGGGCAGAATGCGCTTGGTTTTGCACACAAAGCTTCATTAGTGACAACCGATGGAAAGGATTCGAGGGGTGGGATTTGTATGAAATATATATGTATATAAAGTAACAGATGTCTCTGCTAAATACTGTATGAGGAAGTCAAGTCCCATAGATGTGTCCAAAAATGCAAATGTTTTTCCATAAAACAATATAAGGTATCTCTGTGTTAAATGTAAAGATCACCGCCTATTACTTGAGAAGGGGGCAGAGACTTTATCTTGCTATTTTTGTGGGGCAGAGACTTGGTTCTGCTTCACTGGACAGGAGTTAGGATGCTGGGATGGTGCTCTGACATCATACACCTACTCATGAAGATATCTTTAATGATCTCTGTGGCGTGTCTGGTGATTTCTCCTGCTAACGAACTGGGAGGAGATGGTGAGCCGTGGCAGCGTTCAGTAGCTTTCTCAGATTTCTGGAGTCTTCTCTGCTGCTTGTGTATATGAGTGCATTTTCAGGTGTCCTCCCGTGGTGTCAGGGTGAGTATTTTCAGGATG